CTGCACTGTCAGCACAGAGCCCAATGCAGGGCTTGAACTCATGAACCATGAGATCATGACCGGAGCAGAAATCAAGAGTCAGATGCTTACCTTACTGAACTACCTAGGACCCTTTTTAAGTTTATCTCTTAAGTATATTGTGGCTTTCAATGTAGAGGTCTTGCAAAATTTGTTAAATTTATTTCTAAGTATTTTATGTTTTTAAATTTCACTTTCCATTTTTAGTATATAGAAATACAGTTGATTTTTATACATTGTACTTGTATGATAAGATCTCACTAAATACATTTATTAGTTTCCATAGGTACTTGGGGATTCCATATCATTTCTACCTAAAAAATAATATTTTCTGGAAATAAAAATAATTTCACTTGTTTCTATTCAATTTATATGTTTGTAATTCATTTTCTTACCCTGTTAAACTGACTAGGGTATCCACTGTAATGGTGATTAGAAGGAATAAAAATGGGCATGTTTCCACTGTCCCTTTTTTAGGAAGAAAGCATTTATTATTTCACAACTAAGTATGATGTCATCTGTGCACTTCCCACAAATTACCTTTATCAGATTGTGAAAATCCCGTTTATTTCTAGATTGGTGAGAATTTTTTTTTTAATGAATCTTTAGCTGACTTCTGTCACATGACTTCTCTGTGTTCACTGAAATAATAATATGAATTTTCCCTTTGATTTGGTTATGTAGTGAATTACATTGTTTCATTTTTTAATGTTGAATCAACTTCCAAGCTTAAAAAAATAAATGCCAATTTGTTGTAATGCATTATCTTTTTAAAATATTGCTGATATCAACGCAAAATGCATAAACCTTTAGAATCCTAAAGTAAGAGAGCTTTATCTGAGCCTAAGTTAGGACAACTACCCAGGAAACATGCTGTTCATAGGGAAGAAAGTGTTCAGAGAACGAACAGTTTTTACAGGGCTATATACTTTCTTACATCTTGTAGAAGTTCAAAAGATTATAGACTAACATATAGGTAAGAATAATAAGTATTTAACTTCAAGAAATGCAAGGAGCAGGAACATGGATCAATATCTTAAAGACAAGATGGTTCCTTTAGGCTGCTTATTTACGAAACAGGTGTGCAATGTATGCTTGGTGGGACATAAATCAGGCTTTTGGTTTAAACAAAGTTTATATACAGCCATGCTGCTTTAGAAAGAAATCTAAAATGTTTTCCCTTTTTTCTCAGGCCTTTACGAGGGCTTTTTCCACTCATCACTGGGTTTGATTCATTAATATTATATGAATGATTTTAACATCTGTGTTCATGAATGCTATTAGTCGGCGATTTTCTTTTCTTATAATATCCTTGGAAGTTTTTATATTGGGGTTTTTCTGGTTTTATAACATGAGTTGAGAAATGCTCTGATCTTCCTAAGTGAGTCTGTGTGCTACTAATATTATTTCTTCTTTAAATGTTTGATAGCACTCACCAGTAAAGTCACTTGGGCCCAGAGCTTTCTTGGAGGGAATATTTTAATTATACTTTATTAAATACAGGTTGTCTCAATTTTTGTTTCTTCTTACATTGGTTTTAGACATTATGTCAATGAATGGATATAGTTGTGTTCCTATTAAACTTTATTTACAAAAATAAGCATGGTCTACATTTGACTCTCAGGCTAGAATTTGCCAACCTCTAGCTTAGATCACTGATACTAAACATTTCTTTTATTCTTATATAAACATTTTATTTTATTTTACTTTAATATGAAATTTATTGCCACATTGGTTTCCATACAATGCCCAGTGCTCATCCCAACAGGTGCCCTCCTCAATACCCATCACCCACCCTCCCCTCCCTCCCACCCCCCATCAACCCTCAGTTTGTTCTCAGTTTTTAAGAGTCTCTTATGCTTTGGCTGT